ACTTCCCGCTCCTCTAGTGTGCGGAAGGAGGGGAAATCTGGTTCTAGCGGGTCAGCGATTGGTCCGTGGAGGGAAGGAAGCATCTCCGGGGTCTTGGCCTTGGCAAGCGGCCATATATGATGTGGAGGTGAAAGATCTCCTTTGCGGAGGCGCTCTGATTGGAAGACGATGGGTTCTCACTGCCGCACATTGCGTCGTGGACGACAATCACGACAGTACATTTACAATTCGAGACGTGGAAGATTTCTTCGTCTATCTCGGGAAGCACTATCGAAACGTGTCCAAGGACGATAAATTCGTGCAAAAGATGAAGGTGCAGACGCAAATGCATTTCGTGTTACATGCAGGTCAAAAAATTTCATTCGATCCCAGATGGACCACTATTCCCCGTTACTTGCAGGTGACTCAGATCATCGTGAATGAAGAATACTCCGGCTGGGAATCAGACATTGCCCTGCTGAAACTACACGAGTCGGCTAATCTGACGGCACGGGTTCAATTGATCTGTCTTCCGTCCATTGATGTCCTGTCAGATGACTTTTTAGACGGTTCTCAAGATGAATTAAGCGCTCCTCACGGAGGAAAGGTAAGCCACTATCACTGGAATGCCTCATTTTATTGCTTAACAATAACAATATAATCTTCGGTTTTACGTCAGGTGGCAGGCTGGGGAAAAGACGCCTCGGACCAGGCAACGGATGTCTTGACTGAGGTGCGACTGACAGTTATACCAAAGCGTGAATGCCGAAATAGAATCCACATTATGACAGAAGATATCCCTACTTCCATAACAAGGAAGACGTTTTGTGCAGGAGAACGCAAAAATGCCACCTCAATAGAGAATGAGGATGGAAAAAGTATGATAAGCCCTCTCACTCCGATCCAATTCCATCCTTTTCGATAATTTTCTCATCCCCGTATGGAAGTGCATGCGAGAAATACGTCTGTAATACAATATGGACGTCATTTTCAAGCAAATTGTACGCGTGGTATATCGTGAATTGTGTGCTTTTAGTACTATAAATATAAAGGAACATGGTACACAATTGCAGCATCTCTAAGTTTACAGAAGATTTCATGAACTCCTGTATATTGAAGTGACAATATTATTTTCACTTAGAATACAGGACGGTGTGTGAAGGGGATTCGGGGAGTCCCATTGTCTTCGCCTCTAATAGCCTTCTAAAAAGTCAATGGGTTGTCGAAGGAATCGTCAGTCATATCTACACAAAATCGGGACAGAATTGCTCCAATTATGAACCTGGCCAGTATGGTGTGTTCATTAGAGTCAATAAGTGAGTTCGCCTTCTCTCATGGCCCTCTTCTATGAAACCGTCTCGGAAATATCAAGGAAAGCGCACATTTTCATGAAAAAGTGGATAGTAAATTATTCATGGTTTCGTGATTCATCTTCGTCCGAGGTTCCTCGTGAATAATCAAATGACTTGGTGTTTTCATGGAGTTTCCTTTTAACTAACCATAGTGATGAGAGTTTTATTTGTTTCCCCTTTTAATACTGTTCATATTAAGGTTTCTAAGTATGAGCAAAAATAATCAAATTTAACCATTGAGAGTTTTGCTTTGTTGATGTGGTCTGACCTCACTCGCTTTTTTTTACAGATTTTAATTGTGTGAACCCCTTATTCACTTTTATTTTTCTCCACCGTGAATGACTAAGCAATAGTACAATAGGTTTACGCGCTCATAAGCACCTATAATGCATTTTGCATTGATGAATTCTTTAAAGAAAAAGCTGAATAATAGTACTTGAGCAGTGACAGATAAAATGCTTATTTTCCTGCGACCTGAACGAATGCTTATGGCCATTATGAAAATTCGTTACCATTCAGCACGCGTTGATTGGGTGTGGAGGAGTGTTGAGAAAGTGTTGGAGCGTGCTGAAAAGGTTTTGGAGGGTGTTGAAGCAGTGTTGGAGCACATGATAAAGGCGTTGCAGGGTATCGCTAAGAGGAGGGAAGGGAGAGGCACTTGGGGGACAGTGTGGGTGGGAAGTCGGGAGAGGTGTTGGAAGGCTCTCTGTTAGAAGTGCAGTAGAGGCAGGCAGGTTGGGATAGACGCGGGGGTTGGGATGAAAAATCAGTTTGCACGTACGCCCCAATTGGACGGAAATGTAAAATGGGAAAGTTTTAATGGAATTCGTGTCCAACTCTTAGGTAATATTGCGGTGTGCAATGTGATGAAGATACTACAGGCTATGATTTTAAATCTATTAATAGAATAACGACGGTTCCTACAGTGCTACGTAATATTCACATCATATTAACTCGCTCCCTTGTGTTAATGTAAATACAACTCCCTTGTGAATCACACTGATCCTAGCCAAATCATGCCCGGAAGCATTCCCCCATATATGATAGAATTATTTGTAATTCTTCATCTGAGGAAGGTATTATTTCCAGATTTGTATTGCCCGAATCAAGGTGTATCACCGATTTATTGGCTGAAGATGATGCCGGAGCAATGTAGAAGCAATCAAATTGGCTTCTACACATTATTGACTGTTTAGAGCCAAGTAAAATCTGTGGCGATGAGGAGATAGATATTCTACCTCAAGGATGCCCTTGAAATTGAAGAGAATTCCCAGAAACACCTCTAAATGGCCGCGAAGCTCTCTATTCCACTCACACACCCCCCTTCCCCCCAAGAAATGGTCTCCGGCTGTAGCAGTACACTTAACACACTTTGTTTCACCCAAGTAAGGCGAAATATGACGCTATGGACCTGGTTAGTGGCCTCAGTTGATTGTTGCTCTGTGCGAGTTTGAATTCAAGTGACTTTCCCCCCTCTGCATACATCAGCGTGTGTTAAAACATGCGTTTTGACCCTTTTTACTAATGAAACCGGGGCGAAATCTGAATGTAATCGAGTTGCACAAATCCATTCAATAAAGTCTTACCTTGTGATTGAATTTACTTTCGCAAGAAGCGGCCCTCTTGTGCCTTTTGAACACATTCATGTTTATTCACCTTTTGAAAAAATCAAGGCATCTAGCTGAATGTTGTCTGGAAACACATTATTCGTTCATTTCGTGAAGCATTCAGAGGCATCGCCTGAAATTCTATATTGAGGTGGGAATATTACTCTTCTCATGTATTATTGATGCATTATACTGTATTTACTGTATTCATAAGGTTCCGAAATTGTAGAATAATGGAAAGAACATCGCCCGGAGTTATTACGGGAAATTTGAGTTTCTGGAATTCAAATGCAGCGGAGATCATATGGCCTTCATTACTTTCTTGTAGAGATTAATCTAACACGACTATTTCAATTTGGGGTGTTCCTACACGTGGTGATTTCCAACTGGGTGGGATTTCAGTAACCAGCCAAATCAACTCTGTGGCACCAACACGTGTTGAATGGGTGTGGGATTTTCCTAAGGGCTAAGTTCACTCAATGGATTGCAAGTCCAAATATGTTCATCAGTCATTGGAGCATCCTGTGTATTAGTATTTTATCTTTCATTCACTGGTGGCTGAATTTTCCTTTGGTCGTCTTTGGGGATAGGTAAACCGTTAATACTGTTCCTACCCATCAGGTTTATTGACTGGATCGAGGAGATGATGTCGATGAACTCATGAAGATCGGAGTGAAGGCCCAGAACTTCCCAATCGACGATCCCAATTCTATTTTCAAGGTACTTTAAATTGGAATATGGTTCTTTTCTGATGGTTAAATGTTGATACGGGAATTCCATATGGGACAAGGGGTTTTACATTCAGCAGAGGCTATCCGGGAGGGGTCGGAAGAGAAAAGAGACAAATCAAGCTCGAAAGCGGCTGTGAATAATTAATTTAGCTGGAAAGCACACAAGCAAGAAAGTCAAAATGCATATAAAATGCGAGAAACTGCCATACCTGCGTCTAGTTGGATTTCTACGTTTCCAGCATCATGAAACTGTTTAAATTCAAGTAAGTAGTATTTATAACATTTCCGACGTATTTCCGGTGTCCTTAATTTTATTTCGACTGCAATAGCTTGTCGTCTGGGTACTGCCTTACGTTGCTAGAAATTGGGCGAAATTGAACAGTAAATGTTGAGTAAAAACTAGAAAGTATTGGAAAATTCATTTCAGAATTATTTATGTCGTTCGTTTCAATGCACCGTGTCCTAGGTTTTTGCTAAACATCTATCTTTCCACCTATTTCCTTGAGGAAGGCATTTTATTCCGGTCATGTAAAGAAAAATAGACTCACTTGGAGAAAGAGGACCCCATGTGAGTTCGGTATTCAATGACGAAGTTCTTGATGAAAACTCTTGAGCGAGAAAATTGATGGTGTCCTACTTTCTTCCAGGAATTCCATTAAATTTTGCCAATGTCTTTGTTCCAGGCTTTTTATCAAGCTAATTGTGCTTGCACGTGAGACTCCTAAGGTGTCTTCATCTCTCCTTAATTGTGTTACATGTTCAGGACTTTTTCATTCCTCAGTGATGAGAAGTTTTATCATTCATATAAGAAAATAAAAAATATGCATCTCATGAAACCACCTGCAACTGCAAAAGTATTAATTGCGCGAAGTGCTTCTTATGATGTAACGCTTTTAAGAGATAGTTCAGTGAATAAAAATTCACTTTTTTTTGGGGGGGGGCATATTATTTGGCATGACAAAAAAGCTTAGCTTCACCTCAAAGGAAGCGCTTCTTGAGGAAGGATGTTTCCTTCAGTAATTGGAGAGTCACAAGAGTGTCATAAAAAATTCAGTTGCGGAATTTTTTAAAGCACCCCTCGTAATTCTGTGGCTTTGATACCTGAAATTTTTTTTTGAGTTCGTCATTATCAGCAGCCCACATCAGGAGAGTTTTCATGTCCCCCTTCCCTCTCACGTTTGGATCCATTCCATGGTCAATCTTTCCCCTCAGTTTTTAGCATCCAGCTCCGTCAAGGAATTAAACTCGCAGGAGATCAAGTGCCTATCTGTTCTGACCGGCATCACATGGCCAGGTTTCTTGGATCCATGATGCTGGATGTTCGTGGCAATATTGTTCTTGAAGCCAATCTCGTCCTTTAGGACAATCTTGTTCTCATGACTTATCCTGTTCGGCTCTCTCTATCTCTATAGTAATCAAATCAAGAATGTGGAGTTTGATAGATGGGCAACTCCGAAATTGAGGATACTCTCGCTCTATAACAATCCATTGACCTCTGCTCCAACATTCAAGAGCGACAGCCAGGAAGAACTCAACCTCAGTTACAATGAAATTACGAATGCGGAGTTCGACAGATGGACAACTCCAAATCTGAGGATACTCTAGCTTGAGAACAATTCCTTGACCTCACTACTCGCTTTTAGTAGCGACAGCCTGTTAGACTGGTTCCTCGGTTTCAATTCTAAGGGAAGCATCAGTGAGTTTCTGGGAATCCAGATATCTCTGACGATCCGTAAAGTAATACAAGGGTTAGTCAGTAAGTAAGGTTCCCTGTTTAATTTCTTCGGAGGGCAGGTAATTACATCGAAGACAATATACAGGAAATCTCGCCACATACGTTTATTATTTTTCCATGTAGGCACCAGACTTGTTGAGACATTTGTCGTAACGGTCGATCAGCTTATCGTAGTCCTGCCGATAGAAGTACGCGTCCTGCTCCTGAAGCCACTTTGTGATTTCCTCTTTGACGGCGTCATCCTATGCATAGCGTCGTCCTCAGAGATGCTTCTTCAGTTTCCCAAACAAGTGAAAATCCGGTGAAATTTAGCATACTAATCGCTGTTTTGATGTTTAAGTTGTAAAAATCCTCATTTTGAGGCGCATCGGTTGCGGCCCATTGTTCCCGTGGTGGCAATTTCCTTAACGGTTCCTGCATTTCTGGATGAGAAATTTCTCGAAATTGTTTAAACGAGACAGATAAACAGACACAAGTAAATATTAGTAAGCACACATAAATTCATGTCGTAAGAGAAATAAACAATTTTCTTCACATACTTATACCCTCTGTGCATATTTTTGATGCAAAAGCATTTTCAGATCGTTTTCTCCCTATAGCAAAACGGAATTGCACGGATAATTGACATCTGCTAAAACTGGAACTCCTGACTAATGAAACCAAAAAAATCTCACTATCGAGGTGAATATCCATTGGGCATGTGCATAGACAGCAGGGTAATAAAAAGTTAAAATTTGGTTGTTCAAGTACCTAACAGATTGCGAAGTGCAAGAAAATCAAACCTTTGACACATCCCTAGTAGCATTTTTCATTGAAACAAGATTGATTCACTGTTGATTCAACATCCGAACGTTGGCAATGTCCATGAAGCGATTGAATGTCCAGTTGATGGAAAAGGGAATACTGAATCACTGACAAATAATTGGCGAAAACTTGTCTGAAGAGAACTTGTCCTGATTATTCACATTTGTATTGGCTTTCATTGCGTTAGATTTTCTTGGAAGTCTAGAGATGTATTTTCCGGCAAATACTATTTTGGCCTGGAAAGAAGCGATGAAAGAATGGTCGGAATAAGTAGCAGCAGCGTGGATATAGAAAAGGTCGTATGTGCGAAAACACTTTCCTCTTGCAATCCAGCAATGTGAGCAATTCCAGCAATTCATTACACAGTCAAGTTAACTTGGGAAGAGGTCTAAGATATCATTCGACAGAGAATTGCGGTTCGGCCACCCTGGGATTCGTTCGGAGAAATTTTTGCCGCTCATCTCGAATCTTATACTTTGCACATGCGCCCTTTCCTCTGAGAACTCCGCACTTATTGTCTGACGGAATCCAATATTCGCAGATAGAAAGCGTGGGGTGCGGAGGAACTTTCATATTTCGAGGAGTGACAAGGAGATTTCGGGAAAGAAAGAGACGACGTACGATCAGCTCTCTGCGCTTTTACGTCTTGACGCCGATGACGAATTTTCGGGCCAGGCATTCTTTGCTGCTTTGGGGGAACCTCCTGGTTGTCGTCGGGGGTTTCTATAAGGAGGGCTTTCTTTCTCTTTCTCAAAAGACGGACTACTACGTCAACCATCGCCCGGTGGTAGTTACGGCAAAACCTGCATTTGCGTACATCGGATCAATAGTGCAAATTGATATTAGTGATCAAAAATTACAATGACTTAGACAATAACCGAGAGTAAATATTGTCCAATAGGCTATTCGCGGAAAATGTTTACATATCGTGACACCTGCCTGTAACCTTCATGATCTTAACAAATAAGTCACGAGGAAATTTTCTTTACTGACAAAACAGTTTGTAGTTTAGTGGCAGGCCGATATAGGGAAATTGGACGGGTTCAAGTTGCACGGTATATTTTATGAAAGTTCAACTTGCACGGAAAGGTCAACTTGCGTACGATATATAATTCCTTGTCTCGGTAATAAGGATCACGAAGAGATCCGTATTTCCGTAATACCGGTGTCCGGATTAACGAGAGTTGACTGTATACGTATTGGAGTTCTCATGCTGAAATTAAAAATTAAAAATTAAAAACAGTTGGGGAAAATGGTTTCCGATGAGTTTCACTTTCACTGAGTTTGGCCTGCGATGGGTTGTTTTTGTGAGACAAAGCAAAGGGAATCCAATCATGTTGTATGATTTCATTAATATTTGTCACATTGACCGCCCCCCCCCCCCAAAGTACCAAAGAATAAATGCAACAAAATGTACAAATAGTTGCTTTGTATGACGTGTGGAACTCCTCTATCATTGTGCAGGGGTGGCGGTGGAAGGAGAATGCTCCGATTTGTATTCAACCTCTTCTGCCTCCTCTGCTTCCTCTATCTCCTCTACGTCCACATCTCATACCCAGCAGCAATCGGAGCATGATACCGAAATTGTATTTCTTGAATGACTATTGTCAGGATGATTTAACTCTGGGCACTATTTAAACAAGCGATGAATTTCAGCACAATTTTTTTTTTTTACAAAAGGAAAGAGAGAATGAAAGCTGAAAAATTGGCCTAAACCTTTGCCTATTGCTGAGTGCAACGGAAGCAAACTTTCAAAATATATATGAGTTTGAGAATGACAGGAATGCATTTCTTCTTCTTCTAAAAGGGTAAAACATTTGGAACTGGAACTTAAGAATGCAATTACCTCTCCGAATTTCGATTTTAAGGGAATATTTCCGCTACAGACGTCCTGCAGCGGTAGCAACTTGAGAGAACATTGAGAATCTAATATATATACAGGGCCGTCGAGGTAAATCCGGAATGTGTTCATAGAGCGCCCTCTAGCGACAGTTGTGTGTAACCCTGCAGTTGCCCTATCCCACTTTTAGATCATATCGTCAGGAGTCACTGTGGTATTAGCACGTTTCAACGTGCACAGACATGAGCCGGGAACAGGACCGAAGAGCGGCCATCTTCGAGTCACTTCGCGCCGGAAAATCGCCAAAGGCGATTATTGAGTGGTTTGGATACAAAAAAACTCAAGTTTATGTGATCAGCAGGAAGTTTCGGGAGGCTGACAACCTCGACGAGGTTTCCTCTGAGCGGACAAGCCACAGCAAACGATCGGACCGGAAAAGGACAACCGACTTCGTTGACGAACTGAAAGAGGAGATCGACGCGGATCCTGGATGCAGCATGGGCAAGTTGGCGATAGAAATGGGCGTGGCGCGGTCAACAATTAGTCTGGCAGTGCACGAGGACCTTGGCTACAAATCCTTTGTTCTCCGGAACCGGCAATTGTTGACAGACAGAAACAAAGCTGATCGAAAACTCAAGTGTCAAGCATTGTTGAATGACATCAAGCACGAGAGCACCGGCTATCTGAGGTTCTTTTCGGACGAAAANCTGCAAATTCCCATTATAGCAAAAGCCAGTGAAGAATTTGAATCCAGACAAGAAACTTTCCTTGCACTCCAAGAACCACTTTTGACATGTTTTTTCATCATAGGGATAGGGATGATAGTATACAGCTCAAACTTTGTATCACTCAGATAAATCCATGCTTAGTCTAGGGCAGTGGTTCACAAACTGGGGATTGCGACCCCTGGATGCATAAAGGTTCAATGGGAATGAAAGGAAGTTTGAGAACCACTGGTCTAGAGTGACCACTTATTTCTGCTTGTCTCCTCCTAAATAGTGCTCATGGAGCTTTTTGCTATTGATCCCTCTCTCTCTCTCTCTCTGCAGCATGGTGAGGCATCTTTTCCAGCTTCGGATCTTTGTTGATAATTTTGTTAAATGTAGCAGGGCATGTGTGCAACTTGCCACCAAGTCTTCTCTATGTCTGTAAAAAAATTTTTGGACATGTTGATCACCAATGCTCATGATCTCTGAGGTTCTCTTTTGGATTGGATGTAATTTATTTAGCTTTTCCCTCCTTTCCAGTGCAGCACCTCAAGTGACTTCAACTTTATGAGTTATGTTGTGGATTCCCTTCTTGGAGTCCTTGTAATCTTTGTCCTGACACTTACCTATGATCACAGAATATGAATAACCTTACTTGGAAAGGTACCCTTCCCACCAAAAATTTAATTTTGGAGGCATTCTACAAGTACAAGTCCTTTCCTTTTATCTCAGAAACATACAATACCTTAATAATCTACAGTTAATGCAGCAAGAAAACTCTAGCCAAGGAAAGCTTCCAGGGCTAGTTCAAATTCGTTTTCATAAAGTGCAAACAACCCTACCTGGGTTGGTAGGTTGTGAGGCTGGTCGAGCTAATCAATTGTTTAACACGTTGATGACCAGCCTATTTTTGCTTGTCCGCCGCGTGGGACCACGTGAATTTTTTTTGTCAAGAAATGCGTCCTGCCCTCAGGACACATGGTCCCAGAAAACATTTTTTTTGCCGAGTTTTTTTTAAATGTTGAATTTTTTGGAATTTTTATCAGTAATTACGAAATCATAATCTTCTGGAATGTTCTCAACAGTTCCAGAGGGTATTCATTGAAAAAAAATCTGCATCCTGGCATCAGGACGCATTGTCGCCAACGTGTTAATTGTGGCACTGGCAGATGGACTTAAGCCAGGATTGCTTCTGGGGCATTAGGTACTACCTCTACTATTTACATCTACAGCCATAGCACCTGACGGCAGAAACTCTCTGGATAGGGTTTGTAAGTCAGACTTGTGGCCTCAACCCCCTGACGCAAGCTGTCTGACAAATTTCTAGGATAGGATCCTTCGCTGTCCCTTCTCTTTTTAACTTCCTTTAGCCTTGCCCCATACCTGCAGGCTGTCTCTAATAATTCAGACTCTCATCTCTAAGTCCCACGCTTCTGGGTCCAAAGGTGGGGCATTTTCTGTTGCCCTTGGGTAGTTTCAGACAATTTCGGCACCAAATAACTTCTCTTACTCTATCTGT